GTAAAACCACATTTATTTCTAATATTACCTCAGTCCCCCTCCAACTCCACATTTCTGTAGTGTTCTGGAATGAGCGCCTGTGTCCTCACCATTGAATGGAAGGTCCAAAACGGGTGGTTGTCCTTTTCCTCTTCTCGTCTCTTTGCGCTCTCCGGGAAGGTTCACCTTCAGCTCCTTCTCTGGGGCTGCTGCCGAGACGGTTCAAAGTCCTGTGCCTCTCTGTGTCTGCCTCGAGCCCCCCGCCACCTCATGAGCTTTCCATCCCCCCCCCCCGCCCCGCTTCCCCCCTTGTGTCTTCTCCTGCAAATGGAAAACGTTCTAAGTTAAAAACTTAATCTGTTGTTAATGTAAGGCCCCTGAGTTGCCAATATCGCTAACCTGGAGTTAGGAGCCGAGCCAGGGAGAGATTGAGAGTATGGATGGGGATGGAAATTACATGTGAGTGTCAGCAGCAAGTACACGTGCGCATGCGCACACACGTCCACACGTGCACACACGAGCGTGCTGTCCTAAGTTAACACAGAAGCTGCGTGTGGATTTATTCCTCATGTTAGCTTGTCCCCTTTTCTCTCCATCACTGAGAACACCCGAGAGTTCAGTGCACGTGTTTTAAATATGCGCGCACACACACACACACACAAACATGTATTCAGATCTATAATATATATAATATGTATACATATATCTTATATACATATATATGTATACATATTATATACATACGTATATGTTTATATATATATAAATCTTGTATTTGGCAATCCTTTGGGCCATGTTGAATGTGTTTTGTGATTATAGAAAATAAACTTTTGCATATTTTCCTGTGGATCACAGTTGTGAGGGATGGGGGGCATTTTTTAATGTGGGTTCCACTTCCTGATGTCACTTGTTGATGAACCACCATATTTTAACAATAATTCCATTCTTGGTATAATTAATAGAAAATTAGTTTCTAAAAGTAAAAATTGGGTCAGAAATGGAGATTATTAAAATGTACAATTGCAAAAGCCTGACCCTGCAAACCCCATTTATGCAACCGAGTTCCAAAATGCTTTTGAGTGCTTGATGACTCACTGTGGCTTCTTCCTCTGGCTGGTTTAGTGTAGGCAAGAGGTTAGCCGACTAGGGGAAATTAAAACAATGTTGTACATTATATTGTTACCAGCCATCGAAAAGCCTGTTTTGTATGCAAGACAGCAATGCCGAGATATATGGAGAGCCCTAGGCTAAGTACAGAAGATAATTACATTTGGAATTTTACTGAGTTAAGTCGTTTACAGCTTCAAATAGTTGCAGAGAAAAATCAGCCAAAACACACTTAAACTTTTTGTTGTGACTTTTCAGGATAGAAAGGATTTTTTTTAATTAGTTATCATCTTATATGACAAATTACATTTTTTTAGTAAGATTGTCTCCAAAGTTATTTTCTTTAGCTAGTTAATATTTTTCCATTCAGACTACAGAGATGAACTTATTAGAACAGTAAGATATTCATACAGGCAAAGGGCACATCATAAAATCCCCAAATTTTTACGTAAGTCTTTGGAAACATCTTTAAATTTAGCATGTTTCTTCAGAAGGAAAACAGTAGCTTTATTTATCTCCTCTCTCCCCCGCCCAAAGTTCACTTCTGATTGATGTGTAGTAAGCCCTTGAAAAATTGGTTTCAAAAGAACAAACTTTATGGCTCTGGCTACCGAAAATCTTTACGTATTGGTGGTTATAAAGTGATACAAGTTCCTGCATTTATTTAGTTGATAAAATTAAATTCTCGACATTTAGTTAGAATAAAGTGTTTCACAGAGTGTCATGGTTTGCCCAAGTAGGTGTCCCAGATTCCAGATTTGAGAGCGTGGGGCCGTTGTTCATTACTGAGGAGCTGATTATCAACTATAGTCATTGTTCCTCACTCTCCCCAAGAGTTGGCAAGAGAAGGAAAGGAGTTAGACCATCAGTAAATCAAGTCGTTCTCCCCTGGCAGCTTTCATGTTGTTTTTTGGTGGGTGTGACCTGGTGAGCTTTGCAGACCATTAGGAGGATTCTTTGATTTTTTTGTGGATTTTATTTATTCATAGATCCCTTTCATCCTTCAGCCCTAAATCAAACTGAAGGCAGGGTTTTCAACTTGTGATAGGGCTCAAAGAGGATCATCTGGCCAGAAGTTACTATGGGGTAGTTGCCTGTGGTATTCCTTGTAATATTTTTGCTTGAGAGTTTGCTTTAATGAAGGAAGGGGCAGACTCATTCTGAAGGTTTTGGTTTCTTCAAAGGCTGAAGGAATTGTTAAAGTGATGGAGTAATGCTTGTCAAGAGCGGGAGTTGCCAAACTGCAGATCAGGAGCCCAATCCCAAGAGCTAAGAAAGGTTTTTAGGTTTTGAATAGTGTGGGGGAGGGGGAGGGAAGGATCAAAAGCAGAATAGAGTGTGTGAAATTCAGATTCCAGTGTCCATACATAAGGTTGTATTGGAACATGGCCACGCCCATTCATTGATGCATCATCTATGGCCATAGCTGCTTGGCATTATAATAGAAAAGTTCAAGTAGTTGCACCAGAGTCCCTTATGGCCTGCCAAGCTGAAAATATTTACTATCTGGCTGGCTCCTACAGAAGTTTGCCAAACAACCCCTGCTCCAGAGGATTCAAAAAAACCCATTTGCATCACATTATATAATAGCAACTTGTTCCCTTAGGTTCCTGGCTAACTAAAGGTCTGCGAACCCCTTCTTCCCTCTTCCTTCCTTGCCTTGGTGTATAAAACCATTCTAGTCACCACATTGGTTGGGTTTCCCCAACAGCGGCTTCATGTAACAAGTACTTGTCCATCTCGGGGATCATGGAAAGCGGGCTGATGGATATTCATTCATTCATCCATTTATCTTACCAGTTCATTTAGCACACATCCCCCAGAGCCTGTAACATAGCAGGAACCTTGCTGAGTCCAGTGAAGGGTTGCAAGAGTGAGCACAATGGTTAAGGTTGCCTTCCTGGTTCTTATATTTTAAAGGAAAAACAGACTATAGATAGGTAATTTTCCAGTGGCACTGTCCCCTCCTTGGGTAGTGCTAGCTGATACTGACGGGTTCTTGAAAACACTAGAAACATGCTCAAAAGAGTTTCAGTACTAGAGAGGGGCCAAACCCAATTTTATCCATTAGTTATTATTCAAGCTGATGAAATATACCAGAAAATGTTAACAATGTTTAGTTGTTGAAGAACCCTGTCCCTGAGCCCGAGCTGAGAGGTCAGGATTAGACGGAGAGTCTTTGGGTTGCAGATCTGGCACATTGTGGAACAGTCTAGGACAAGGTACACTTAGACCCATCAGCCGTCCTCACTGCGGGCTTCCGCTTCCTCTCCCTCTCGGGTCAGCATTTCCATGTTTGTGCTGTCACATTTGCCATTTCTTTTACCCATGTCTGGAAACGTACTTTTTAATTGACTTAACGAACAGTCGCTGTGCCCATAGGACCTGAGGTGTTGGGGGATCCAGGTCCCTGCAGCAGCCAAGAATACTTTGAAGACGTGTTCTTATGCTTGAACAGCCTCGCTCTTATGTCCCCTTGGCATCATCCCCCCATTCCCTCCACAGCACACTGACAAATCACCTCCTCCATTGGGGACGCCCTGGGCACGACCGGCCCCACAGCTACTTCTCTTTGCCTTCAAGAAGGCATTTCCCCAGACCAGGAAGTACCTCTACCTCCAAGTATATTACAGAATTCCTATTCATAAACTTGAATTTGAAAAACATTTGCACAAGTTAGCACTACAGAAAAGAGCCGTCAGAGTTGGAACAATTCCCCAAGGCTGATCCCTGTATTGTTGGAGGATCAGTCTCCCCCTACCACCCAGACTTGCCAGGCCTTTCTCTGCACAGCAGGACTTAGACCTCTGGTGTTTACATCTGGGAGCAAAGGCACATGTGTGCCCCCATTAGAAAAATAACCCCAGTAAGCTTAAATCTATGTCATACATCAATGGAGGTTGATTATGTCTACCCTATAGAGCATCATTGCGAAAGGGTTCCATAGGAGGGTTCTGCAGGGCATTGTCAGCCAGCACCAGGCATGACCGTTATGAACGAAAGCCCCTTGAGTGCTGTCCATTTCTAGCCCCTCCGGATCTATACCGCAGAAACCTTCCCTCTGATCCGAAACAGAAGGCTCTTGTGTTTCTTACCTCTGACGAACCCCTCCTAAAGAATTAGGTGAAAAAAAATTTCATAACCATTGTTAGCCTCAGGGGGTCCTGGCTAGAGATGTTTCCTTTCTTGGTGCTATCTGTGTGACGCTGTGCTTGAATCGCATGAAAAGCCTTCACGATTCCAGTGTTGAGAGGTAAGGCAACCAGGCAGAGATCAAGATCATGGGCTACAAAGTCTGACTTAGGCCTGTCCCGTCAGCATTGTGTGAGAGATGCATTCGTATTGTTGTTCTTTTTGTGGGAAGTTATCACAATATATAATGCATGTTTTCCTAGCAGTGAACTCGTTATGTGGAGCTTTTACCAGAGTGGTTAATTCAGTTCTCATGTTGCTCCCTGTTACTGGTCTCAGAGGAAAGAGGGGTCAAGAAGACATCTTAGTGGGCATTCTGAGCCTTTTGCAATATTTCTAGCCACATTTCACTATTACAAAGACAGTTGTAATTTTTTGACATTTTAGCAGTGGACTCGATGGTGATTAACCCCATCTGTTACCCAGAAGCCCAACATTGTAGAGAATTTGTGTGCGCTGCTTGTGCTGTACATATATGCACCTAACATCAAGATAGATGGACACCATGGTAATCATTTGGGTGAAGGACATGGCTTTTTGAGGTGAGGGAATGTAATTTAAGATTGTATCTGTGAGATGTTTTCTTTGGACAGATTCTTCTGGATGCTGTGCAGACAAGAGGCTAGGTCAGAATTGGAGGGGAATGATGTTCCCACAGTCAAAATGCATGGTCTTATTATACAGGTCATGAAATATGCGCGCGTGCACACACACACACACAC